TTTCGGACTTCAGTCTGAAAATTGATTGTCCTAGCAGACTAGCCGAAGGCCATTTATTAAAATGATGGATATAAGGCTTATTAATGACACAGCAGAAAGTACTGCGTTGGTGCGTGCTAGGAGTACAGATACCTCTTAGCGTTGAGACACAGGATAGAATAAACTTGTCCCCTCTGAGCTTACCGAAATAAGTTATGGTGCTGATGGCTCTTACTGCACCTGACAATTTATGCGTTATTGATGATTGTTGAGCCACCACCACTGTTCCTTCAGTGACGAGGTGACTTATTTCGTCAGCGTGATATGAAGAGTTGAGACGCTGGAGACGGCAGAGTCGAGTAAGCTTCGTGGGTGGCGGGACATGTCGCACAAGTGGTTATGCTGTCCATTGATACCGTGACGAAGGGGAATGGATGAAATTTCAAGACTCATAAATTGTCCAGAATGCAAGTTTCCTCTTTCCTACTACAAGCATTTGTCGAGTTATTTTTACTTGACCTTAGTATTCGCTGCTTCCTTTTTTTATCAAGTTAACTGATAGTTGTTGAAGCTTCTTGCCAATTGAATGTTGCTTTGATGTCCTCAGATTCCCTTTTGCTAATGCTTTGCTGCCTGGATAAGTCCCTCTTCTACATTGGTGTTTCATATTTACTAGTCACGACTTCAAAATATCATGACTGCTGCCTAAACGTCGAATGGGCGGCATTTATAGTCTACGTGGAGTGTGTGTTTAAACAACCCAATGGGGTGATTCAGGGAACTTTTAATCCTCGGATTAATTGTCTGGAGTTTGCAGTTCCCGGCTGAATACTCTTTGGGCTGGAGTTGTTTTGGTCATCGGTCGCGGTGGTAATATTGTCTGTGTTCGTAAAAATCACCATGTACAGTTTGTCCACGGCATGCAGGCCATCCCTCTTCGTTTGAATTCCTTATACCCAACAATGTTTCCTCGCCCGTTATTTCCACATTTGATGTTACCGAATCGCAAGTGGACCTAAGATCCACCGGATGATTGAAGCAGTTCGTGCAGTTTTGATGGAACTCGTTGCAGTCACTTGTTGGGGGTTGTAAAACGCATGCGTCGTTATAAATGTGATATTCTTCAATGTTCTTGGATTAAGCTCTCATGATTATTAGTAGAAATGGATGTGGTTCTAGTCTGTCCACTTTAAGAACGAGGTTTACTTCTGTTTTAGGGCAGAGATAGAATGTGGTCTTGTCAGGCTTTCTTCTGGCATTTGAAAAGGGTGCAGCAGGCAATAGTAAAACGTATTGCTTGTTTACGAACGGTTCGAACAGTTCGTGGTGATGTTGAGTCACTTGAATGGCATCGCTTTAAAGAAGGTCCTCTGTTTTGAATAAAAAAGAATTATGTGAGTGATGATGCACTAATTAGTTCAGTCCTACATTAGCTTTGAAGGAGCTGTAATGGTGGAGGGTGAGCACATGAGTGCCTGCCAGATGCCACGGGTTAACAGGTGGCAGAGAGTCGGATTGGCAGATCGTGGACTTGTTTTTCTTTTCACCTCCTCCATGTGCGCTATGAGTTGTTGTGCGTGTAGTGGTTTGCTGACTGATTGACTGACTGGGAGAATGACCTGTGAATAGTTTGGTGAGAGGTAATTTGTGTTGTCACGTATGCTAGTTGAATGAACCTTTTATCGCCAATCATCCTGGCGCTGCTCGATAAGGGGTCGCCTCACA